CTGCACTGCAGTCGAGTTGGAGTTGGGGTCCCCTGTGAGGGCGTTCACCTCTTACACCCCCCCTTCACCACTCTCTTCTACAGATGAACTTGTTAATATGGAGACATTTCATCTGTTAAATGTCTTTTCTGACAGAAATGACAAAACTTTAAGGATGTGCACTTCAAAGTGAAATATCTTAATGTATAGCTGATTTTTTAAACTCTACGTGTATAAGTGTTTAAATCAGACTAAGAGATTGTTTTTGTGTGATGATTAAAAACTTTTTGAACTGTCTCCAGTGCGTGTCCTCCTCAGGTGGGTTTCACTCCACTTTGTTCAGCTGTTTTTCATATTTAAGGCAAGTCCTTCTGTTTAAGGACATTTGGACAGTTGGTGAGAAAAACACCTGAACAAACAAAGTTTTGTTAACTTTGCTGTGTTAACCTTTGCTGACTTCACAGTTAAAATATTAGGAAATATGTGAACCTCAAATAGTGGACTGAAGTCGGGGAAAAGGGGCCAAACAGGTTGGAGCATCATATCTTTTTAAACGTCACTGCTAATCACAACAGGTGGTATTGTACACTAGTTACAGGCCTTGCTGGTATTTTGATTGGGTCAAAGTGGGTTTTTTGTTTTGTGTGTGTGTGTGTGTGTGTGAGTGGGGCAGAGTGTTGCATAAATTTATACATAGCAATACCATAACAATTAACCTGATATAACAAACTTAGCTCACAACTAATAAAGGTTGATACAATAATTAAGCTTATGAACAAAATGTACCATAATATTTTTTTATGCTTTGAAAGATAAAAGTGTTTAAAGCTCTCCTGATGCTGCTCAATAATCCAGGTGGAAAAATCTAACCGGTTAAATCTGGTCATCTAATGGATTATTTGTTGCTGAATTTGTCTAAAAGACTTCTTCAGTGTGAGGTGCTGCATTAAACTCAGTCTTATAAATAACACCTTCTAAAGTGGATCAACCAGTTTGCTGCTGGCAACCAGAACTATCTGTTCACATGTAAAAGGAGGACCATCAGCCTAGCAATGGATCATTAGCACACTGATGGCTGTTTGCTATTTAACTTGTTAGATATGTCCCATTTTAGTACTGGCCTACTTTAGCTGTGATTAAAAATGATCATGCCAAATAGAAACATGCCAGTACAGAATAAATATCTTAATGTTTCATCATTATGCATTGCAAACAACGTGCAGTAGGAGTCAGAGGTGGTGAAAGTGCTTCATATTGTCATCACTGGTTGATCCCATACAATGACAAAACTTATGCTCTGCATTTAACCCAGCCCAAATAATATGATGCACCCACGTAGAGGAAGGGAATAGGTGCCTTGCTCAAAAACGACATGGCCGACAAGGGGATTGAATGTGACTTTCTGGTCTGAAGTTGGTTGCCCTACTACCACAACACCACAAACTGAAGAGTTAAAGTGTAACTCGAGATTATCTGTATGCATATCACCCACCACCTTTCATTAGACCAAAGTCATCTGTGACCGTTTTGGTCTAATCTTGAAACTTATGATCAATATTCTGCAATATCACAAAATGGTCTCCCTCAGAGTATGCATTAAAGACACAGCTACAACCACATCTAATTTTAGCTTAAAATCAGCTGAAAGACCATTTAGTGGTTTTTTTTAAATTTTAGGTCAAATGTCAGTAGCAGCCATGCTGAATTGGGTCGACTCCCAAGTGGTAGTCCTTTGGTCAGCCACAAAGTATATTCTGCAAGTTTCATTAAAATGTGTCCACTGGTTCATGAGATACTTTGCTAACAGACAGATTTTTGCTCTTTGACACCTGGTGATAAACAGGTGAAGATCAACTTTAGACAAAACTTACTACTATAACATCTAATGCAGTCGCCACTTGACATTTTCCTTTTCTCTCTGCATTATATTTCATCTACCGGTACTTGTTGAAGAAACTAGTTGTAAATTATATTTGAATGTTTGACACAAGCAGGCACATACATTCATATGCAAATTTATTTAAACAGTGAAGTATTTCTAAACTTTATATATTGTAATGTTAAATATGGCTAAGAAACTTGCTTTGTTTAAAGCTAAAATCAGTGATTTCAGCCAGTTACCATTTGTAACTGGGACCCTGTGTACATAACTTCGTTCCACCACGTACGTAAAATAAACTGATTTTTACACCTTTAATTTGAAATTTTATGAATTTAAACTTAATAAATGCTTATTTTAATGTTTAACTTGTCAATAAAAAGTGTAATTTTAGCTGAATTATTCAACTACAACTTAAAAGATTTTAGATGAGGGGAAAAAACAAACATCTGCAACACTTTTTGATAAAATAGCACATTTATTAAAAAGAGACAGCATTAATCAGCATTTCCCATTTTTGCAGAAATATGTCACATCTGAGTCAGATCAATAGTTTAGCGAACATTTCTCAGTCCACCTGGTGCTGCTGCCGCCTCGGACTCTCACAAGAGCAGTTCCTTATCCGACAAACGTCTCCACGGGGTGACGGGATGTTTTCATCAGACAAACGCCACGTGACAGAGGGCTGCAGTCTGCTGCCCAAACAACCGTGTTTCACTCTTTAAATACACTTTTAATGCATCCCGTTTATTAAATTACCTTGTGGTGAAAAAACAACAACATACCTTTGACAAATTTATTGTAATTACTGAGCAGTTCCAAGCTGACATGAGAAATGTGGATTTCAACAAATCTGATGTCAAAACTTTTGTTTCACTTCCTGTTTTAACAGGAGAAAAAAGGCTGAAAGACGTTAAAACCCATTTAAAGTCACATTAAGTCACAGTAGATAGAAATTTAGATGAAATTATGGTATTTCTTTGGTTCTTGTGTTTTTAGAAAAAAGAAATTGAATTACGCTTCTGTTCATTCACCTGTGAGATGGTCAGACAATAACAGGCCTGAAAAAGGGATAAATGGATTTTATTATTATTAATATTATTATTATTGTGGCTTTGCTCCTGGTAAAGATGAGGTCAAAGACAGTAAGATGATTTGTTGCTTCTTTTTTTGTGGAATGACAAATCTAGCCCTGAAAATTATTTAACAGAAAAAAGGCAAATTTGATATAAGCAAACAAAACAGCATTCTCAAGGCAAATCATGGTAATGCACAATGTATTCAATAATTCAATACAACAGACAAACAAACAAACAAACAAAACATCTGAAAATACATGAGGCAGTGCAAAATGTCACACCAATAAAATATGTTTCAAAAATAAAAATCCTGAGGAACTCAAAACAAATCCAAGCATAATATAAAACATCTCCAGGCCAGCCCTAATCTGATTTAAATTAGAATTAAATGAAAGATCCCATATTTTTAATCTCATTTAGTTGACTGGCAGCCAGTAAATGTGGCTGCTTGTAAAAATAAAATAAAATAAAAGTACCCACTGCGATCACTCCTCGCCAGGAAAAAGGCCACAAAGATCTTCTCCAAACCCCTCAGCAGGAAAACTGAACGAACAAACCTGACGTCACAACGCAAAGTGTGACATCACACACAAACAACTGCGCAGACTTGGGAGTAATGGATGTGGTGACTATGGTGCTGAAATAATTCAAACCCAACGTTTTCTGGCACAAACTTTCTGGAAACCAACCTTCAGTACGAGGGGACAATCAAGTAATAAGGAAGGATCGATTACACCTAAATATCAGCCCCCCAGTACCGTTTATGGCGACAGCAATACTGACGAGAGGAGAATGAGTCATGTGGAGGTAAGAATAGAAGATGCAGCTGTGAAACAAAGTTTTGAAGTCTTTCTTGGAGAAGCACTTGTGAGGTAACTAGATCCACAAATCAGAGGGTTCGCAACTATTCTACCAAAACTGAGGAACAGAGCTGCTTCACATTCCACTCTGACAGCTAGAGCCTTCCCGTCCAAGACGGAGGAGTCAAAGTGGACTCTGAGAACACGCGAGGAGGGAAATGTTCATTTTGTCCACAGTGCACTCATCTACCTGCAGAACCAGAACATGCAACTTAAATTTCATTTAAAGTTCACATTGAACCAAGAAAATGTTACAACCAAGATTAAAACGTTGAGCGAACAGGATCAGAAAGGTTTACGAGATAAAACTCGGATAAGTATCTAAATGCTGATGCACAACAGGGGAAAACTTTTTATTTATGTTTTAGACAAATGTGCTTTAAAAGAAAAAAATCTTTAAACTGCAGATAAACAGATTGGCGATACACACAAAGAAAGTTAAAGCAAGTCAGTAAAGTTGGCACATGTTCAGATTATCTTTAATCCATACTGATGATAGTTTAGCATAAAGGCCTGGACATGGCCCTGTGGAGAATACTCTATGTTAGAACCGATTTTTAAAAAGGCAGCAAAGATTTATAACCGTCTCTTACACTGAAAATAAACCAAACTTCAGTTTTTTATAAAATGAAGTTTTTAGCTACGTAAACTGAAAATTGTATCTGTAAGTTTTCTTAAGTTGAAGGAGGCAGAGTTGTTTCCATTTTGTAAAAATAAAGACATTCTTTAGTGAAACAAAAAGGCAGTCATGCATAAGAAAAGGCAAAATAATAATGAGTCATAAATCACTGGTGCTTAAGCTTTTAACAATAAAAGTCTTATTAAATTCAAAGGCTTTGTAAAAGATTCAATGTGAAATTCAAAATGAATTTATGCATGAAGAAAAAAAAAAACAAGCGCTGAAAAGAACTGTGATCACTGTAGGACTATGGCTGCATCAGTACTGAAGGGAACAATGCCAAAGACATTTACCACACACCACCTACACATCTGCGAGACCCCACCGATGTTTAAGAGTAAGCAGACTCAGCAAAATAAACGTCAGCTACTGAGCTGGTTCAAGCGTCATTTCCTTTCTCTCTCAACATCTTCTGACGAGTAACGATGGCACTTTAACACAAGCCCACAAAGATCTGAATGGAAACACAAACATCTCCACATTGAGAGAACCAGACGTCTCACTGGAAACTATTTTCATCCACCGTCTCACTCATGGTTTTTTATTCCAGATTACCAATAAGCTAAGCAGCACCATTTTCAATCTGAAGGGAAAACGTCTGACCGGATGCTGAGCAGGAGTGTTACATACAGTGTGCTTCCTTGCTACACCCGGTACAAAAACAATGCCTTTTGTTTATAAAATGGGCCCAGACCAATCACTCCTGAGCATCTCTTAGCTGCAGAAATGTGGCTTCATCCATGAAAGCTGGCACCTGAAAATCCTGCCCAGCTTCTATGTAGAAATGACTAACGTTGCTCGGAAAGGACCAGAAGAGGCGGATGCCAAACACATTTTGAAGAAGCGTACAGAACACCTTCTCCTCCTAGAAAAGCAGTATTTGCTTCGTCTGGCAGTGACTTTTCCAAAGGTTTTTGTCTCTTTCTGACCACCATTGTTCTGATTTTCCACAAGCTTTTGGCTCTCTTCTGTGTGTATGCTTTTACCAGTGCGGTTGTTGTATCCATAACCTTCTCTCCCTCTTCCTCCCCCTCTCTTTCTCTTCAAAATCCCACATTTATCTCGCGCCTCCTGATGTTTTCCCCACCGTCAGTTTCAGCTCAGAGCCGGCAGAGGCAGAACAGAGTGGGGATGAACACCCCAAATGCAACGAGGATAGGAAACATGAGGCTGCTGTTGTCAGCTGCGTACGGGTTTGGTGTTCGGGGGCCTGACTGGACCCGCTTGGACCCCATGGAGACCTTTTTCTTCCCACTTTCCTCCCCTCCTTCACTGTCCTCCTCGTCATCTTCATCGTCTGCTTCTTGCTTCTCCAAACCAGGGTGAGGCTGTAGCTTTGGTACGTCTGTTGGAAAATACAGGCAGGTGAACATCACATAAACATAGACGTACATATGTAGCAAACTAAACGTGGCCTAAAGGCGTTATCAGACCAGCTGTGTGAAACACTGCACAGCTGCAACTAAAACATCAGATTTTGAGATTAGCTGGGAACCCCCCACCAAAAAAACAAAACAAAAAATGTTTGTGATCTCAGGACTCACCATCTAAAGTCCCCTTCATAACGTAGAGCGCACAGACCTTGGGGTTGTCATAATAACCCTGGAACAGAAAGAAAAATCAGTCAATCCGAGTCAACAGCATCAGCTTTGTTCGATGAAGTGAACGGTAGGCCTGTCGCGATAAACTATAAATCAATTAATCACATGATAAATGAAAATTATCAACCTCATTTTCATTTATCGGCTTTATCATTTCTTCATGTCTCTCTCTTTCTACTGAAGACACTGGATGACAAAAGGATCAAATTCGGTGCTCTTCACTGACCTCTCCCTTTCGCGTTTCTATTTAAAATCCATTTTAACCATCTAAAATCACGTTTTTGGATTGTTAAAAGCAGCTAAACTGAGAAGCTAAGCTACGAGCTAAGCTAACAGGCCGACCTTGGGGAAAAAACCTCCGTCTTATCGAAGCTCCAAAATTCACAGTTGAAACCCGTGTCTTTGTGTAAAAAGTTGTTTTTCTCTGCAAAAAAGAAGCTGAGAACTTGTTTACTAATTTTTTTAATTAAAAGTTTTGTGTCACAAATGCTATGCTAAAGAGCTCAAACCACACCGAGCGTCCACCATTTTGAGAACTGAAAACCAGGAAGGAGAGACAGCCCATGTCACGTCAAGGGGCCTCACTCACATTTTCCTTAAAGAGACGCGCTGCTTGCTCCCTCACTATCAATCCTTTGGTTCAAATGGTCTTACACTGCCATCCGGTGGTCAACAAAAGGTACTACACACAAAACAAAATAACCAATATTTATTCCTAAAGTTGACAATAATTACAAATCATTATCAAATTTCAAACAATATTATTGTTAATCGTAAATGAGACAATTAATCGCCCAGCAAAATTTGTTATTGTGACAGGTCTAGTGAACGGTTTAAAAAATATTTAGAAAATCATTTTCCCCATGGCCTGCAGCAGGTGGACTGACTGGCATCTATGAGTTGTGCAAATGCTTTATTAGCCAAGTAAAAGACCTATTATTAAATAGATGTTGTCCAAACTATTCTATTTTAATGTTTGTGGAAATACAGCACTGTCAAGTATTGGTTCTTTTAGAATAACAGCTTATTTATTAAGCAGCTCCACTGTAAGCAGGTTTCACAAAGACAGGAAAGAACTCCTCTGATAACCAAAGTATCTTAAAACCAAACGTGACTCCATCTGTCAGACAAATTAATTTTGACAGCAGGAAATCCACAACAGAATGTCAGAGGGAAAAAAGAATTGGACGGTGATCCAGTCAATGTCCAAACGTTTTTCAATTGAAATCTGGTTCTATTCAAACTTTTTATTTTCTTGACTCAACCTTTTTGTAACGTGCTCTCAACTTTATTCAGGATTACTAGTCATGTGATTTATTGTAATTTTAGCAGTTACATCATGCAGACTTCTTTAGATTCACTCTATTTTTTGCAAATAAATCCTAGTAAGTTATTTTGTTTTTGTTTTCTAAGAATAAGTTGCTAAAATTTAGTCAGACTAGCCTCGTTTAGGGACTGCATGGTGTGCCCTCCAAAAGGGTTCAACTCATCACCCCTGCACCACTGTGCTGGACGGTGTAAAGTGCTGATTGTTCAAATGAAGTCACGTAGGAGCAAATAACCCGTTTTAGGTCTCATGTTCAAAGAACCTTGTTCCTGAAGTCTAGTGTATCTCTGCTAAACTAAGCTGTGCTGCCATGTCTCTTTTTTTTAGAAACAATAAAAAGGGTTTCTTGTAGCTTCAAACAGGCCTAACTCGTTCAGTCATCTTTGGATGAACTTTAACACACTTAACAAGCAAACTATGGCCTGTAGAATCTGAAAACTCTTGATTTAGTTTGCCCCCCAGGTTATAAAAAAAAAAAACCACGGTGGAGTTCAACACTGGGGTGTACCAGTAGTTAATTATTATTTTTTATTTTAATTCTGCGCAGACATGAAAAATCTTAGAAAGTAAAAGGTACAGTTTTGGTTTATATGACTGTGTAGCACGTGTTAGCCTGTTATTTCACAAATTAGGTTAAGCCCTAAATTATATTTTACATTAAACTCTCTAGTGTATATTAAACTAAACTAAGAGTAAATCATCAATTTATTAAAGCAACTAAGTCATTCAGTCTCACAATAACATGAAAAATATTACTTTCCCCATGTTAATGCATATTTTTGACTGGCTTTATAAACATGGCGATTCAAGCACACAGACAATAACAGTCGTTAACTTTTAAAAAACTTTTAAAACTTTTAATGGTACTCGAACAATATGTTTAAGGAATTTACCTTGTTTTGAGAAAAGTTTATTCTTTAGCATCTGAAGCGTAATGTGGATGTTGTTAGAGAACACTCTGGTAAGCTCCAGACTTTTATTTACCATTTAATATGCTTCAAACTTGACTTTATTCTGAACGGTAGAAGCGAGTTCATTGAGATCTAGTTTCCCTTTTTATACTGAAAGTCTTGTCCCCCAGCTGTCAGAAAACTGATTCAGCTACTCACTGCTGGATGACGTGCGGTGCTGCAGATAATTCTTGTAGGGAAAACTATGAAGTGTGAAAGTTTGGACAGTGCAGGTATCTCCAAGGTCCAAAGGGATGCATGTTCAGGCTGCCTTCAGTATGTTTCTAAAGTTGTCAGTGATATTAAACAAGGCAAATCAACAAGCCTCTTCTCATCCACTGCCTCCTCTCACCGATGGAGATCAGAACTAAACAACTCACCTTTACAAACTCAACTGTGAGCTTGCCGTTGAAAGTAGACACCTCTCCTTGAACGCTCAGCTTGCCCTTTTTTATAGAGAACGGTACGATCTCATCGTGAGCAGTACTGTGACCCACTCGATCAAAGATATCCAAGTCCTTCACCACCACATGGTCATTTAGACGAACGTCAAACACCTAGAAAGACACATTCTCAAATCACTAACGCCAAGAAGCTCATTCAGAAAACAAAACAATTTTACTACACATACACCACAAACGTCTGACAGCGACACGTCCTTTTACTCGATCGTACCTTCTGCTGTGACTGCGCAAAGTAAACCTCTGCATATTTCATAACTAGTATATAGTCTCCTTCCTCACGAATGGGAACGTCATATCCAAAAGTGTCTTCATTGTAGCGCTCCGTCTGGTACAGAACCTGGTCTTCTGGACTGGAGCGCAGTACTGGCAGACGCATCCCATAATCAGATGCTAAGAAAGGGAATAACATCAGGATGAGCGTGCACTTTACCCCCAAATAACAAAACTGGAAAACATTTAGCTCCACTTTACACGCTCCATCTTTTCTTGAATTCAGTGGAAATGCTTTCCGTGCCAGGCAGTTACTACACAAGTGTTTTCTCTAACTGCACCCGAGCCTCTCGAATGAAGCCAGGACTGTCTCTGCGGTCTGTTTGGACACATTATCTCCTGCTTCCTTTTCACTGTGAGGGAGGCGGGGCTGCAGCCCTCTAACGCTGACTCCTCATTAGTTTGTAGTTACTTGCGGATGCGGAAGCCACAGCCTGCAGAGATGTCTTTGCTGGTAATGTGGCTCAAAGCAACACATTAAACATGTTCACAGTCTCATCAGCAGCACCTTAGAGGTGAATCCGGGCACGTTTGCAAATAACCGGCAGACTCACCTTTACCAATTTTCCCTTCCAGCGGGTCCTTCTTGAAGTGAATGCCGTGCACATCCACGTGTGCTTCACCTCCGGCGTTAACAGCCCAGATGACCCGCTCTGCGAGGCTCGGGCCCCCGCCGTCCGCCCAGCTCTGCTCGGTCAGCAGCGACAGCACCGCTGCCAGCAGCCCGGCGACGAGCCGCGCCGTGACCCGCTGCATTGCCTCAACCCGCTCCTGCTCACACACGGACAGCGTCGGTATCTTGTTGTGTAGGGATGTATACGATGCTCGCTTTATTTATTAAATGAGCTCCTCCGCACGTAACAAAAATACACACAAGGTTAGCGGAAAAAAAGCAAGGCAGCGTGCCTTCCCTCACACGAAACATGATATCCGTACGTTAGCCACCATGCTAACGGACCCTACACACCGGGCAGCTTTTGCACTACGGTGCGGAAAATGACAGGTAATAATACACTTTATCAACAAGTACTATCACGTAATGTGGCCACCTTAATGGTATATCAGCTAGGTATCAACTTGTAAAATGCATTTATAGGAAATTAGCAGCCAGTAAACCTAGCTAACCTACCTGTCTAACCAGAAATTCTTGGTGAATGAGAGCCCGGCTAACGTAAATGCAAATGTCTCTTACCTTCCCCTTCCACAAATGTCTTTCACCCCTTTTCTTGTCAGTGTTTATTAACCGTGTTACTGCTGGCCCACTCTCACCAGCCGTCTACAAGCTATGATAACCTAAATGACTGCAAATATTCCGCTGGCCACAGCCTTTCACTGACTTTCATTCAATGTGTGGATTCCCATCCAAAGTAACATTTGCTCTGCTGCCAGTTTGCAGGAGGCGGGACAACGCGACCTAACTAGTTTCATCTACCAGAGAGTGACAGGTATACCGACCAATCAGCTTCGCGGTTGTTTCCTGGTCTTGCGAACACGCTCAATGTCACAGACCAATCACGTTCTGCTTTGTTACGAACTGAAGAATTTTTATTAATAAAGTCCGTGTGTTTGACGTAAACATTATCGATATAATTAATCTTTACTACGCTTTATTTTTTAAGATATGCATTTTTTAAAGAGTTGCCTAAGTTAAAAAAAAAAAAACAACTGAACTCTAGCGAACCCGTACTGAAGAGACTATACACATACAGCTTTAATTTCCTGCCGTAATTCATTGTTTGCGTTTCATGATCATTCCAGGTGGTTTTACGTGCTCATCGTGTTTATTAATATTCTTTACGACAGATGAGAAGAAACACCTTGTGCGAAAACTAATTACGAAAGGTAAACATTTCCACCGTTGCTCTACGAGCGACAGCGACAGAAAACGTGATTTCCCCTACTCTCGATCCAACATGGTACGGTCCAAGTGTCGTCCAATCAGAAGAGTCCAACACAGCGCGCACACCGTACACTCCAGACACTCGAGACTTAACCCGAAGTGAATGAATAACGTTACTATGGCAACAGCAATACGTTCAGTATGACAGGTGTTTCATTTTTAACCACCGTTACGTTGGTGAGCACGTTAAAGCGCACTCTTCCCCTCACAAGCAAAGCGAGATGCTTGTCCTGCTGTTTAGTTTGGCCTGCATATAAAACCAACAACAATCATTTTAATAATACTAAAAAATGTCAAGTATTATTTGAAGGTATGTAAATCACAAACCACCACTTTGCATGTCTTTTTAAAAAAATCTGAGATCTTGCATAACCTGTTAATATCATTGACTAATTTAGGTTTAGTGGTGGAGGCCATCTTATGATTGATTCCAAAACGTAATCAGTTGTAGATGTACATCCAATGATTCTTTTCTGAAAGTTTAATAAAAAATCCATCCATCCATCCATCCATCCATCCATCCATCCATCCATCCATCCATCCATCCATCCATCCATCCATCCATCCATCCATCCATCCATCCATCCATCCTCTTATTCCAGAGTTGGTCCCACCTCTTCCTTGAGGATTCCATGGCGTTCCCAACACAGCAGAGAGACTTATGTCCTGGGTCTTCCTTGGGGTCGTTCCCAGCTGGACCTGCTTGGAAAACCTCTGCAGGGAGGTTCCTACCAGATGTCCGAACCCCCTCGGCTCCTCTTGACATGAAGGAGCAGCAGCTCTACTCCGAGTCTCTCCTGGGTAATTAATCTTCTCACCCTATCTTTAAGGGAGAGTTCAGCTAACCTGTGGAGACAACTACCGTAGTTTGATTGCTTGTATTCACAATCTTGTTCTTTCTGTCACTGTCCAGAGTATGTGACCATAGGTGAGGGGTAGGAAAGTACTCCGGCCAGTAAATAGAGCTCTTTACCTTGCAGCTCAGCTTCCTTTTCACCCTTATCTACTGGTTTACATGATATTTGGTTAGACACAAACACATACACGAGCATAAACGTTGTAAGAGATAATTTACTTTTAAAAATCTAGAATGCACTGCAGTTGCTATAAATTTATCTTTGCAATATCTGCCTGAACACATAAATCAGACGACTACTGTACATAAACTGTATTTTTAAATTTACTGCATTAAAAAACCTGTTGGAATATAACAACACTTTTAACCTTTTTTTTTTTTTTTTACCAGCAGCATACTGTATGTAATAAAACAAATTTCTCATTTAGATCTAATCTGTCAAATTTAATACAGTGGCTGTTTTCACTTTGTGACAGTACTGCAGTGTTGCTGCAGGTGTTTCACACAGCCTGCTGCTTCTTCAGTGACACGTATGAATAATAGATATTGTGATGAGGGCTGTCCTCAATACACACAGTGACAGCCCTCAAGGTAAGACTCTTAGTAAAACGCTCATAAAAATAAAATACTCAAATGTAAACACTTTTATTCTTCTACAACTTTGTGTAATATCTTTCTTAGACAAAATTGTGCATACTAAATGTAATAAATGTCTCTCTTTGGCATGCATGATCTTTTTGACAGCACATGTGTGTGGACATTGCCACCTTTTCATTTATGACAGTGACATACAGTAAAGGTACAACACAGTTAAATCCACTGTACGTACAGTTCACATTAGTGATGCCTATCTCATGCATGACTAAACAGCTTTTTAAAAATAGTTATTAATAGTTCCCAAAACTTTGTGAATTCAAACATGTGAGCACTAAAATATGTCCCATATTGCTGCAAACCACTGTTGGTCAGTGTTTTATTAAGCACTTTGGCTTTCTGAAGTTACACTTTAAAAGAGCTGCACATCTTATGCTGTCTTTTTTCTTCTTATCTCAGACGAATGAACGACAAACTATGCAAGGCATTTGTTTTCTTCTTTTTGCTGCATGTCAGACAGTGATGCTTCTCCTTACACCAGACAGGCACAGTGAAAAAATACAGATGTCACAAAAGTACATTACAGGTGGGATATTTCCACACAGACTCCTTGGTGAAGTACCGTTGTTCCACAAAGGTACTTTCAAGTACAACTTTGCCACATAAGATGTGAATATATAGAAAAACATTAGACAGTGCTGATCTACATATTTTCTACATTCAGTCTCTCATTCAGATGTTGCTGAACATCAGAGGCGACATTTTGTAAGACACTTGATTTTACCAGGAGACGAGACGCCAACAACCTAATCACACAGGAAGTTATTCAGTGAGAAGTAAAGTGCAAAAAACATAAAGTAGACAATCATTAGCTACGCTACAGCAAATTTTGCCTCTGTTGAACTGGAGGGTTTTCAGGAAGAACACTTATTAATTGAAAGTGTGAGGTGACCCCCTCACCTCCCGCTCCACAACATTCGAGGAGTCAGAATTCCAGTGACATTTAGATTTGGATGGCTCAGGAAATCGTGGCATGTCCTTGGTTATTTGTGGATTTGCGTGAAGAAGGACACAGCTTCACATTCTGGACTGATCATTTTTTCATGATCTTAGCGAGACATCATACGTACGAACTCTGGAAAAGAAGAGAAGTGAGAGAATGAAACAAAATGCAACAATTGTACATCGATCCATCTCACTGCTTAAATGAATTATAGGCCTGGCATTCCTTACTTTCTATAGCTTTCATAGCAACGTTTTAGAATAAATTCATCCATAAATGACTCAGTTATTTGTGTTTTAGTCAAACTTTGTATATGACTATGTGTAATCTCAAGAGCCATCTTGTAAGATTCATAGTATATATATATATATATATATATAATCTTGTGAATGTACATTAAATTATAACTTTAGAT